TCGGCGGACATAACGAAGAGAGAGAGAGAGAGAGAGAGAGAGAGTCAAGGTTTAATTAAAATTCATCGTTGCCGGAAACACCGATGTTTTATCGCTTTCTCTCAATCGAGCACACGCGCGATCGTTCTCCTAATTTCGATATTTCGAAATCGAACGCGAGACAAAGAAAACGCAAGACGACTCTAAATCGATTCCAACATCTTCGAGATCTCTTTCAAGATCCATATCTTGCCTACCTAATTCGCGGATAAATTGGATATACGATGCTGGAGGAAAGAGATTAATTCGAGGCAAAATGTTGCAGCCAAGTGGATGACTGATGGCCCGTAACGAGCGTCGCCATTTTCGTCGCGTGGAAAAAAGTAGCGCGCTGGTTTAATCAACGCGATACGATGCGTGCTGAACTTCTTCGTTTGCAACAACGTCGGGACAAATATTTTGATCGAGACAAAAAAAAAAAAGAAAAAACGAACGGAAGAAGTTGCGCGGTGCAATCTTTCTCGAATTTACGAGCAACGACGAGGACGACCAAGAGTCGCGGGAGAGACGATCTCAATTAAGGGACAACGTGTTTGTGCGTTACCGTCGCTTTTTATATGACGCCGTTCCTTAATGAAGCGCGGCACGAGTCGTTAAAACATTGCTTTAAAATCCCCGCTTACACGAGTATCTTCTTTATAAACCTTTTTTCTCCTTCTTTTTTTTTTTCTTTTTGTTCTGATGCGTATACAAGGAATTTTAATCGAACGTTCGAATTAACGAACGCGAGATATCGTATCTTGCCAATACTATCCGATTCTTTCGTTCGGCGGACGCTTAATCTTTCCGTGGACAAGAATGATCCGATTCCAGAAACCATTGAAACATCCCCTCGGAGAGATTCGTTTCGTCTCGTTGTTAAGGCTTTGCCAAAGAAAGAAATTCGATATCAGACCTATTCAATCCGGTCCTCGATACGACGTGACAATTTTGATTAAAAAGAAAAAAAAATTGTGGCACGTTTTAACGAAAAATTATTCTTCCCTACCGATGCAACATTTTCAATTTTTCCCCTAATCTTTCCACCCATTTTCCAACGATCTCCGCTTCCTCGAGATCGTCTCGTTGTTAAGGCTTTGCCAAAGAAGAAATTCGATATCGGGCTCAGACCTGTTCAATCGATACGATTGATTACAATTTTGAATTAAAAAAAAAAAAAAAAACCCCAAATGACTCTTCCTTACCGATGGAACTCACTGTCAATTTTTCCGCTGCCGATTTTTTGACCGATTTCCAACTTCCTCGAGATTTGGCTTTGCCAAAGAAATATCGTGCCCAGAACTATTCAATCTCGACGCTACAATTTTGATAAAATGGAACACTTTCGATTTTTCCGCTGCCGATTTTTTGACCGGTTTCCAACGACGGATCGGAAGGCAAGTCCATAGGATCTGCGGGACACGTAGCCCAGTTTCAAGGAGAGGCACGTATCCACCATCCCCGATCGGATAACGCGTGTTCCATCGAGCCGAGATCCCCGAAAAATCTCACAAAGCGGCACCAAGACCGAGATATCAATCGGATTCACCGTCCATGGATGGAGAGAGGAGAGGAGAGGAGGATATTCCGGGCGGCTATATCGAACAGATTCATCGGCACACGCTGCAGAATTCATATCGCGAAGTGGCCCTTCGTGCAGACCGATTGTTCCAACCAAGCCTATCCGTGCTTGCTGCGTCCCCCTTTTTTTTTCTTTTCTATCTTCTTCTTTCCCTCTCTCGTCCCCATCACGGTTATGACGTGGTACCAGCGTGGAAGCCTGGTACGTTTCTCCACTCGACCCACGACGTATTTTTCGCGACAAAGGAGAGAAAAAAAAAAGAAAGAAAGAAAGAAAAAGAGGGGAGAATAGAAAATCCAAAGTTGCGTGTCTGTTTCACGTAGCGTGAACAACAACAACAACGACAAGAAGAAGAACAATTATAACGAGTGCGGAACCGTGGCAAAGGAGAAAAGGGAGAAAATCTGAACTTTCATACGTGTCAACAACAAGAACAATTATAATAACCGCGAAACTTTATCCATGGAAGATTCGTATCGCGTCAAACCGATTCGAAACTTCTCTCTGTCCAATCTTCGAGACCCTCTCTCTCTCTCTCGATGACACTTGGCCCGTTGTTTATGTTCGGGAAAGTTAAGGGAACGAAACTGTGTCAGCCGCGTATATTGCAACTTGCCACATATACCCCATCATCGAAACTTTGGATCCGTTCACGATTTCGTCTCGTTCCATTCCGTTGTTACCGATCCGTCTACGATCCATATAATTGCATTATTCTTCGAAATACTCGTACATTTATTTGTTATTATATCATATATTTATTCGTTCGATCGAATTCGTGGAACGATTCGTGTTAAATATCCTCTTTTCTCTCTTATCTTATCTACCTTTCGCTTGGCACCAGCCCGACGGATCGAATAGAGGGGGAGCTCTGCGGGAGTGTTAAGACGAGTGATGACTGCATTTCGAGTGCCAAGACGGTCATTCGCCCGATTCGATATCCAATCGATAAAATCCAACGATATCGACGAGACCATTGGCATCGAGGCTATCAAAGACGAAGTGGTTGCTACGTCGAAAAATTATTATCGCCTCCTTTCATAATACCACCGCGGTATAAAAATTCGAAACGGTCAAGTTTGGCGAAAACCAAATGTTTGGGCCGACGAGTCGAGTCGCAAACATTCGAAAAAACAGACGCGCGATTCTCCTCGTTTGTTCTCTAATTGCGCGTGTTATATTAAGGGACGGTGGGGTCGTCCTCGTAGAATTCATTTTTTGCTCGTTTAAACGAACCCTGTTTAAACGAGGAGTAGTTTCCTTGTTCGCACTGTTCGTCCAAGAAATGTTCGCGAAAATTAAACACACGTGTATAACAAACTTCCATCCCGTCTGCCTTCCGTTGAACTTCACCGATGATTACAATTTTATAATTTTATAATCCACCTCGCCACGATATTTCAACGCGTTTGAAATTGTTGTCTAACGACGAATGGTCCAAAGATAAGATAAGCGAGACATCTTAAATGGCTAAGCGAAAGGGATCGTGGAACAAAGCAACGTTAACGACGTTAACGCGTTTCGCGTTATATGTAGGAGGGCGACAGCTCGTTAAACGTAACCGTAAGATAAATGGATGCACTCGTTAAATAATAGGTGAAACGAAGGATTCCTCCTCCACTCCCTCCGGAGAAATGTGAAGACACGGAACAAGAGAGATTTCGTGATATAGGCGTGAGATTAACGCGCGTGCTACGCTACGAATTATACGCGACTACTGGCACGTGCTACCGAACCCGTGACACTGAAAAGCGCGTATTGTGCCTTGATGCATGCGCGCGTTTATACATCGCGAAAGCCAATTCGCGCGACGCGTCGAGAGCCTTCCCCCTCTTACACGCTTACCGTTACACGCTTCCTCCTCCTCCGCTTCCTCTCCTCAACCGCCGTTCGCGGATCAAATATCACTTCGCGAGGACAAAACGTGTTGAAGGACAGGACGAGGCTCTTGGAACGAAAATAGAAAATTATTTGATACGTTCTTTCTTCGATTCGAAATCGAAGGGCATTGTTGAATCTTTCTTCCTCATTATTATGATTAATTTCGTACGAATAATTCCCGCATACGAGGAGCGAAAAACGATGTATCGGAGATTTTCCTTTTACGCAATTTCGCGATTCGATCGCTCGGGGGATTCGATATTAACGATTTTCGGATAAAGTATTTCTCGTTAATTCGAATGTAATGTTATTAACTACACGGTAGTTTCGCGTTTCGATTCGCGTTTCGACGCGATGTTCACTTGGAAAATGCAAATTTCATTAAACGAGCCTCGCTAATGCCTGAATATTATTATTGCATATATATATATATATATATATATACACACGTGACCTCGTGACGAGTTTTCGATTCGTAATAATAAATAAGAAGAGAGACCATCTAACTAATTCTCTCCGTTCTAACGTTATTTTTTACTTTTTTTTAGTTGTTCCTGTCGTCACTCTGAAAATGGGCACATCGTTGAATCCAAAGAACATCAAGGAAGGGGACGACGTTTACTTCGAGTGCAACGTTAGGGCGAATCCTAGGGCTTACAGATTGACATGGTTTCACGAGGTATTGCTTTTCTTTCTTTCTTTTTTCCTCTCTCACTTTTCTCACCCGCGTTTTCCTCTCATCGAGGGAGAAGGATAAAAATTACGAAAATACTCGAGAGAGGGAGGGAGAGAACGAATCTGGCAGATCCATCCTGGATGTACTCTGACGCGAGTACCGTGGCATGTCGGTGGAAAAAGAAAGAGAGAAAGAAGCGCGGTGAAAAATAAAAGCTTCTCGATGAATCGAAACGGACGTGAAATTAAACGGGCGTGCACCGTCCTCGTCCTGTTCTCTTTTTATACACAGGCGCTCCCCTGTAAAAAAGAAGATGGAAAAGCGATGCGATAATTTCCTCGCGTAACAAAGTTGAAAATTAAGGCGAAGCCACGTTTCGCCGAAATGAGTTAAATAATCTCGTACGAGATTGAATTCTCATTTCGCGAAAAACTGTCAATTTTTATCGTTCCTTTTTTTTTTTTTCACGAATTGTATTAAAAATAATGAAAAAAAAAAAAAACGTATAAACGGATTACGCGGGAGAATAATAATTCAACGAATATCGAGCGGGATGAGATGTGAAACGCGAGATATTTTTCGAGTAATTCGGGCTAAATTTTGACGTGCAGAATTATCGGTGTTCGAAAATACGCAGGAAAAATTTTCCAAAAAAAGAATTTCTACTCGCGTCACTTTTCGTAGAGAGAGAGAGAGAGAACGAAGAAAAGAAAAAAAATCCCTTAGCTTTCGAATATAGAAGTAACGTCTAATATACGTTGCTTCTGGTTTGCTTAGCGTAAACTAACCCAGGGGACGTAAATTCCGCGTGACGCGGTGTCAACAACAAAACCGCAAGAAGCCGGAGGGGGGGGGGCGGTTGGCAGGCCGTTTCTTCTCGTCTTGGCTCGCGAAAAATATCGCGAAAAAACTCCGCGGCTCGCACACCTGCTCGAAAGCTCGGCCGTTATCTCCGGTCACTCGAGGATCGTCGAGTTAAGCCTCTTAACGTGGATTATGCCTTCCATCATTTTCCGGGCTCGGAAGCTTTCCCAAGAGGTCGACGAATCCGGGAAGCATCGTCGCGCTAAAACCCCCTCTCTACTCCCTTCTGACGACGGTGTTTCGAGCGACCACGCCGGTGATTCGAACATCGAGAGAACGAACCTCTGACGAACAGGAAAAACGTTAAGGATTCCAATCCAATCCGGCTTAATCCTTGATCGAAGCACGCGAAACACTTCCTCGAGTCGTTCTCCTTCCCCTCGTTTTCCAAGTTTCGTCGTTAAAAAAATAAAGGGATATCTTGGTGTCGCGAGTTCCCTGTCTCGTTCGATTAAAAGAGGTGATTGGAATTTCTTTCTTTTTTTTTTTTATCATCGGAATCGCAAAGAAGAAGGAAATTTTTTTATTTCGAATCGTTACGATATGTCTTTTTCCGCTCGATGATTTATTGGAAATTTTTCTATACTCTAAATAAAATATATGTATCGTGATCGCGCACGAGTTCCGCGTTCTTCGACGTTCTTCCTTTGATTTAAGCGTTACGCCGCGCGGCTCTCCATTAATATTCTTGCGATCGTTAATCGTAAGAATTACGATCGAATGAACTGGGATAATCGAAAGTCGGGGGGAAGTTGGATAACAGAGGGAAGGAGGGAGGGGGAAAAAGTTTTAATAATAGGGCGTCTTTTCCTTTGGAAATATGATTCAATGCCGGGTCGAAGAAGAAGAAGAAGAAGAAAGTAAGGGAAAAATTCGGTGAATAAGTAACAGAGTTTAAAAGTGGCGGGGAAAAAGAGTAGTTTTGGCCCGGAGAGAAAGAGAGGAATCGTAGCGAGAAGAGGCAAGGATAATTTGAAAGCGTCTCGAAAGCGTTTCTCTATCCCCCTCATCTTCCCCCTCCCACTCCCTCCCCCCCCCCTCTTCACCCCGTGCGCGCATTCGTGTGCACTCTGTCGAAATTATTGTAAATTTACGAGGCGGGCGTTGTCACTTCCCATCCATTCGGTCGCCACCTCGCCCATAGTCCGAAAACCAAACCGATAAATTGCCCCACGAATCACCGGGCAGAAACGGTTTACCTATCCGTAAAAATGTTCACGTGAAAACGTCCGCGCGCCATGAAAATTTCCCGAACGAGCGAAACGACACGTCCCCCTTTTCGAAAGTGTTATCAAAATTTCAAACTTTTCACCGGAATATTCGATGCGAAACGACAACGGCCCGTGCACCGCCTTTACCGCGTCGAAAATCCCAAACGTTTACCAAAACACTCGTTCCAATTAACGGCGTGCGTGTCCCGAGCACCAAGCATCGAGACTCTCCATGTATGAATACGGCGCGTGGCCGTATAGCTATAGTATATGCTAGAGTATATAGTAGGCCGTTGGAATGCCTGCCCTTCCTTCCTTCGAATTGCTGTTACTTTGTCACTCTCTCGCCGGCAAAATACCCGGAGAAGAAACCATTCTGTATTTTTCACGATAAATGAATGTTTATTTATCGTGGGAATGAGATAAGGAAGCGTTGTCGTTCTCCGACAAGGGGGGATATATTCATATGGACGAATGAAACGAAGAGATATATATAAACGGGTATAACATAACCTTCGTCGAGTAATCTCCCCCTCCCTTCCCTTGGATCATGACGCGTGGTTGAAACTAAATCCATGGGACGCGTAACATCACGACAAACCGATTTACCTGCCCCACGTTAGCCCGTGGTATTCGGTATTACGGGTATACGTTAAACGTCATTACGAGCGCGTTGCCGTGCCAGTTTCGCGCGATGACTTTTCACCGGTCGATCGTAAAGCGAGAATAATGATAAAAACTCGCCGCCACGTTTTTTTTTGTTTTTCCTCTTTCATTTTCCACCCGTTTTTTTCTTTTTTTTTTTTTGAAATCACGGTTAACGCTTCGACTACGTTTAGTAGAACGTGTTCAAAAGTGTCGAACGCAAACACCGTGACCGTGATTCATATATATATATATGTATGTGTGTATGTGTGTATGCATGCATTTGTTGCTTTATAAAGTTAGTGAACGTTGATATACATATACATATATGGCGTTAATATATGGTATACATATGCATATCCCTCGCTAAATTCACCCAACTCCGGGATCGTACATATAATTTCTCGATTGAATATTCGAACCTGCTTTTGAATTAATTTTAGATTTTCGATGCAGAAATGATCGTATACGAAACGAATATAATCGGGAAGGTTTTTAAAATTGAAAACGTAACAACGTTTTTTGCGATTGCCTTCGAAATTTTTTTTTATTTTAATCCATGAAAAATAAATTTTAAACATCGCTCCTACGAGCCATCCACGTTATTAATCTTCTTAAATTTGCATATTTTCCCGTTTCATCGAACGCGGTGTATCTCAAAATCTGTTTTATCCGTTGATACATACGCGCCATCTCCCTCGACTTTATCCATTTCCGTTCGACGTATTACTATCGCTATTATTATGCTATATGTATACCGCGCTGCGTCCCTATTTTCCTATGGAGACCTATCCGCGAGATTCTTTGAGATTAGCAAAGGTATCGCAGCGAAAGGAATCAAAGAACGGACGAAAGCTTTGCCTATGCTTTATGCATAATCCGTATAAGAATACGGTACGGAGGAATAAGTTGGCCGGAAGGCTCGCATGCCGAGATATTCCACGAAGAACAGGAGTTATCGCTCTTGTCTACCCCTTTCCTGGCATCCGTTTGTAACGCAGGCAGGCGAATATATTCCTTGTTTACCGCGAAATATGTATTATCGTTCTGACGTGAATGCGTATATATTTAACGTCTAATGCAGTCACGTTTATATGAAAATCTCGTGGTAAAACAAACGGGGAAACAAACGCACACGACCGGGGAGAGCAATTGTTACGGATATATCTCGCGATATATCGGTATAATACGTTTTCTTCGCTTGAACAACAGCTTTACCCGTATCGATCTTACGATATTTCGGAAACACGAGGGGAAACACGTTATGAATACTGGATATCGATGGAGCACGGGTTGGCACGTAATTTGTCCTTGTCCTTTCTCCCCTCCAGTCAAATCGCACGAACGAGTGTGCCGATATAAAAACACAGGTGAATTTTCACTTTTCGTACTATCTCGATATCCTTCGTCGCTTTCCTTCTTCCAAAAGTGTGAAAACTGTAATTCGAAAAAAAGTTAGTTCGTTCTTCCTCTTTCCAATAATTCAACGATGATTCAATGATAAATTTGTACGGCACGAGAGACGATTTCGAAGCGTTTAATCTACTTGTCACCGTGTCACATTCGCACGAATAACGTGTAGAGCATTCAGAAATAATCGAATTCCCGAAATACGCATCCATCTACGGTTTCTCGCACGTTCTGCGTGCGTGATACGCTTTGACGTTATGCGTGTGTACGCGCGTATAAACGAAGAGATTTGAAGAATTCGTAGGAGAACGAATAGTAAACCAGTGGCGAGAAACGAATGTAATAGCAAAAGCGTAAACGTGTATGTATATATATATACGCGAAATAACGAAGCGAGACGAAAGGAAAAGGACTACAGAGAGTAACGCTCGAGTACTTAGCGTGCATTGTAAATTCCCTTTTCGTCCGAAACGAACGAAGCGAGCGAGGATCCAGTAAACGGGGAGCCACATTTTATCGGTGATGTTTAACCGCGGTCGAAAAAACCGTAAGACACGCGAAGATAAATTTTGTTCCCTTTCTCTTTCTATCTTTCGCGAAAGATTCTCTCCTCTCCTTTCTAAATCCACGACGAAAAGGAAACGAGGAGAGAAAAATCTCGCGAGACAAAGATCGCAAATCCGATCGCGGATGGAAATTATCGCACAGGATAGGATTCTCTCTTGGCGCTCGAAGAGTTTCTCTCCCATTGGCCAAAAGTTTCGACGCCGAGAGTTTTCGATTCGTGTTTTTGCTCGCGAAATATATATTTTGAATCTTGCTCGTGCACGGAGAGGAGGTTTTATGGTCGGATAGAAACCAGAGAATGCGGCAAACACGTCCCAACTTTTCCAAGCTTCGCCGTCCAGCTTCCAGCTTCCAACTTTTCCCCCGGTAAACGTAGCGGCGATGGAAGAGAGAGGTTAACTATGTAGGTATGTGACACGAGGCGTGGAAGCATAAACGTCCGCCGCGCCCCCTTCCACTTTCTCCCACTCCTCCGTCCATTCCTTCCTTCCGCTCCCCTCGCTCGCAACATCGCCGAAAGATTTGCGCAACGCGCGGAGAAAACTGGAACTATCGAGGCGAATTCCCAGGCGTACGCGCCCGACAATTCTTTCGACGGTTAGGACATTTTTTCCCGTTTTGTTTATTCAGGAAGAAGAGCTCCATTACAACGTGACCGCAGGCATAGTGCTCTCGGACCACTCTCTGGTTCTTCAAAGTATAACTCGAGAATCCGCTGGAAGATACAGCTGCACGGCCGTCAATGTCGAGGGTCGCGCCAGTTCCAACGTAGTGGACCTCGAGGTTATGTGTGAGTATATTATGTTATTGTTGTAGAAAACAGAGAGAGAAGAAAAAAAAAAAACAAAAAACGATACTTTCTATTTTTTTTTTTTTTTATTATCAACGACGATCGAAAGTCGAGAATCTAAAGACGCTGTGTGTTTCGCTGTGTGCAAAAAAAAACAGTCGCTCCTGTTTGCAAGCACGTTTTAAACTCGGCCGGAGGATGGAGGTATCAAAACGCGACGCCACCACCGTTGAACGTGCCCGAGGAGGTGCACGGCGCGTTGAAGCACGAGACGATCGGTCTGGTTTGCGAGGTGGAGGCCAACCCGACCACGGTCACTTTCCATTGGACTTTCAACAGCAGCGGTGACCTTGCCGACATTCCGTCCGCCAAATACACGAACGAGGGCACCTCGAGCAAGCTCAATTACACCCCCTCGTCCGACATGGATTACGGGACGTTGGGCTGCTGGGCGAGTAACGCTGTCGGCCCCTCGAAACAACCCTGCCTCTACCAAGTGATCGCGGCAGGTTCGTCGTTTACCATTTCCTCGCTCCCTACACAGAATTTGCCTCGTTATTATTATCGTAGCACGCGTCCCGCCGACAATTTCCCTAATTGAATATGCTCGTTTGCGGTGTGTCGTGCCTTGTATATACACACACACACACACACACACACACACACACACACACACACATATATATGTATATACGTAATACCGATATATTCGAATGGACTACGACGATGGAAAACCGAACGCTTGCCCGAAAACCGATGAAACCGATAGAAACCTAGCCACGCTCGGATTGGAGGGGAGGGGGGGAATTATTCCGAAAATGAATCCGTGAAATTAATTCACGGTTTGTATCGCGGCTAATGGAAAAACTGGTACGAAATTGGTATGGCATGGGGGAAAAAAAAAAAA